CTTTTGAACTCCTCAGTAAACTAAGTGCAGTGTATGCAAATTGCAACATGCATGCATGCATGGTATTAGAAGTCTTGAATTTACATCTTATTGGTGTGGTATCTCGCTAAACGTTGTAAATGAAATGTTTTCACAGTCAGTTGAACGATAACTCGAGCGCAAATAATTTCCAGCGCTCCTGGCGGCCGCCCGGCCCACTGTGCGGTCGGTCGGCCGGTCCGCCGGCGACCGGTTCATGCGCCAGGCGGCTCCGACCGCCGCGCCGCGCCGTGCCATCCTCCCCGGCCGTGCTGTTTTTCTCCGGCGCCGCCACCGAGCGACTGGGGCGGCGTGAGGCCGCGTGACGGCCGGCGACCAGCGCCGCCAGTCGGTCCGACGCCTCTGCGCCGTGCAGGTGTCCGCGCTGTGAGCTGTGTGCTGTGCTATACCGTATCGCACGCTGTCTTACCGAGCACTGTGTCGCGCTGTGCAGCGCCGAGCGCCGCTGTCCGTCAGTGTCTATGTGTGATCGGTGCTGTGTGTCTGGCCTACCGGAGGGCAGATAGGAGGAGGAAGTGTGCTGAAGCGGAAGCGGAGCCGACCATGTCGTCCATGGTGCCGGCAGAGGTCAGGAGGCTGTCCAGCTGTACGTACGCGCCACCGGCGACGATGCGTGGCCACGGGAATGCGCCGACGGTTATTGTTAGGTCTGCCCCGCCCCGGCTTTCGATTCTATTTTAGTCAACGAGGGATAGTGCGAGTAGGGCATTAGTGGGTAGGATGAAGCTGAGGAAATAGCCACTGAGTCTAATGTTACAGGCAACTACAGTTCCACACAACTGATGTGCCAAAGCGGGTGGCGAGATTGTCTGCGGCAGTTAAAAATGTCGAGGAGGCTTGAGCCTCTCCAGAATTGCTTCCTGCCACTCCTGATATACTTATCTATGCGATTGGATCCGGTAGTTGTGCACCGCGTTCCCGTTTGCATGACGAGAGCTTAAGCTGTAATGCAAATGTCCAAGACTCCGAAATGCCTATACATAAAGCAAAATATGTAAAATGTCCCAAGGCCCACAGCCAAGTTTCCTATCAACAGTCCAGGAATTTATCGACACTTCAGCATTCATCGACTACCTCGTTTAGATAAACATGCAGACTACCGTGATATTTCAATCACCCTTTCAAATCCCGACTGAAATAACTACCATCTCCCTGCCAGTGGAGGTGAAGTTTGCATCACCAATACCGCCCACCAATTCACCATCCACCGGGTCGCTGAGCGTTGCCGACCGGTGCGGGCACGCGCGCTGCGTGACGATGCCGATCGTGTTTTTGTGACGACCCGTGACAGCGGTCCTGCGGCTGAGGTTCGACGGGGTTTGCATTAGGTGTGCTTCCTGCTTCAGCTGTTGCCTACTGAAGTAGAAGAGTGAAGAATTTTGGTTTGTGTGGGGTAAATGAATGAATTTGCAACGTAAATGCCCCTGCTAATTGGTGGTCATTAAACACAAGCGACATCGTAAAGACGCCTTTGCTCCGCTATTACCTGAGCGAGCCTGTTACGTAGTCTTGGATCCTAACCACTTGACCTAGAAATTCCAGCTGGATTCGGAGGCGAAAGTTAAACGTTCCCCCGCAGCCGAACACATCGTGCCCTATTAGGTTCATCCACTCTTTCGCCCGGCCGTGCTAACGGTTTCTGACTGCGGGTTGTTCGGGTCCTCTCCGTCCGAACGATGAAACAGCGGTCGCCGCAGCGGCTCGAACCGGACCCTTCCGGTCTCCCCCTACTATCTCTGCCGGTGCCACGGGCTGACTCGACTCAAGAGCGGCTCTGCTAACTCAAAGATTAAGTGTATACTGTACATGTCATGACAGAGTACATGTCTTCTCACATTGTAAACAATCGCTCGTTGCAAAGGAGGTAGTTGCAGACACATCCGCCTCATTATGCTTGCGTGGATGACGTTCTCAGCCAGCCGTTTGGATTGTTGGAACAAAAATGTTATGAGCCGACCGCGACTGATGCTGGTTTGGTCGTTCAGTGGTGTGGTGTATCACCATTCACTGTGGTGTATGTGTATCACAGACCGGCACTCCGGAGCTTGCTGCTCATCCCGACCCCGGTAAGGCTCGGAGGCATTTCACACGCTCAGTTGCTGGTGACCGTGAATAACTCGAGGCGTAGGATATTTTGAAGACAGATAACCGGTGAAATTTTCAAAAGGAGAAAAGCGGAAAAGGCTGTTTTGTTGATGTTGCCTCAGGAAAAGAGCCTGAGCCAATCGATAGCGCTCAGTTCCACCTAAGGCATTTCCCTTTTCGTTTTATTTTACATGTGTGAAAAAGCATCATGTATTCACTCTATTTTCTGACTTGTAGGCACTCCTTACCATATAGCACATACATCAAGAAGCCATCGAACAGTTGTGGTTTGTGGTCGAAGCTGTAGCCGATTCAGTACCCATTTAGTCGGCCCTTTTCTTACATGTCATTCACAATTCACATGAACCGCTACTGGTTGTCCCCGGGATCACATGATAGAACCAGCTCGATTATCCTGTGCCTAGGTTATAATTTTTAATGGTTATCTAAACCGCCGATGCCACAACTTCGCTAGGTCCGTGTTTTTCTGGCTTTTTCTGGGTGCTAAGTTTCTAGGCTTTTTGGTTTGACTTTTCGGGCTTCCTGAGATCTTTTATAACCTGAACGGAGTTCTATCTACATATAGCCTTGACCTGGAGAAGTAAGCACCAACTATTTATTCAGGCCAAATTCAGGCATTGCATTGACAATGTGGTGTTCACTTGGCAACGCCAATAACCATGCGTTTATCGAGTGAGATCTTCGGACAAGAACTCAATGACTATAATATTCTGAAACTTAGGGGGAGGGGTTTAGATTAATTCAACTTGATAGATGCCTAGCCCTGAGTTGCAAAATTGGCCAAGCGGCATCAACGAAGAGGCTACCTACGAGCTTTCCCAGGTTGGCACTCTGTAATGCGTTATGCTTGTTGTCCGCCCTTACGTCATGCTCACTTGGGAGATCGTCGATCAATCACTTTGTAAGCGAGTGGCCGCAGACACCTTTTTTAGTTCTATTAGCATGCGCTGCTCTGCGTCTCCGACTGGGCAGTGTAAGAAACAGCGCACATCTGACTTACTTCGCCCGCTTGGTCGCTCTCTGTCGGATCGGCGCACAGTGGATTGATGTGAGCTCTTGTCTGTCCACAGGTCCCAACATGCCGTCCGTAACTCACTACATCGCCGTCAAGGGCTCGCTCTTCGCCGTGGAGACGTACATCTTCGGCATCAACGACTCCCACTTCACTGAGGAGGCGCAGAAGGTGCGGGCGAAAACCTGGAGGCTAATTCAGCCATTATTGTTTCTTTATTCTTTATTGTTTGATTACATTGCTATCCGGACCCGGCGAAGTAATCTTTAATCTTGCTCTTTAACGTGAACTATTTGATTTTTTTGCCTTTGCGTCAATTGATTAAGTAGGTATGTTCGCAGATGAGCTTCCGGCTCATTTATTAGGCTCTCTACTGGTGCTTATTATCAATTTAGGACAACTGTATCTAGAGCTGCTGTTCTACATCTGTGGCTGTAACTCCTCTCTGACGGCCCGTAGTCCTCCGTTAGCTGCGTGCCTGTAGTTGTAACCCATCACTGACGCCCCCCCCCCCCCCCCGGCAGTTGGGCGTCACCGACCTGACGGTCAGTCAGTGCGTCAACGGCGTCATCCTCAACCGGGACCCCATGTACGTGGTCAACCTGGTGGCCCGCTTCGGCTACGAGGTGATCGCCGCCTCCGGTGGCCAGGAGTGCATGTGGACCCTGAAGAGAACCATTGAGATGTAGTTCTGCACTCGGCCCACACGCGTCGCCACCGTCGGCGCGCCGCGTCGGTGGAGGGGAGGGAGGGTGAAATGTGCCGACTGCTAAACAGCACGGCCGACGTGGTTGGTATGACCGAGTCGGCCTTCAAGTGGTGTCTCCACACTGTTTTTAGAGTAGTTTGGAGGGTCTAGCAGGGAGGCTGAGCTAGGTAGCATGCATCTGACGATTTGATCGGCCGAATGATCTGAGGGAGTTATTTGGAAATGCGACTTCAGTCAATCCAAAAAGCTTTAGTGGTGAACTTCAGATGCGTTTGAGGCTTTCAAAATGTTTTCGATCAAAGGAACGGTACAAAGCACAAAATGGATGCTAGGTGTGCCGAGTGTTAACTGTAAGCAGAATAGCAGTGATGCGTTATGTTACTCCATTTGCACGGTTATTTACTCAATTATTACGTTATTTGCCTTGTTTACGTCACGGTGTTGAAAGGATAGGACCTTATATCTTGCCGATGAGTTAGAGAATGCACCATAAGGGCGCAAACATATGTGTCGAGTAGCGTACCCCATTTTATCGATGTAGGTTGTGGTCGTCTGGTGACGGGTCTCCCCGGTAGCTGAGCGTGCTGCGCGTACCCTCTGTTCTCTCCCCGAGCGCCCCCAGCTGCGCTACAGCGTTTGTTTTTGCGCCGGCGCCGCGGATTCGAACCCCCGTGGCCCGTGCCCGTCCCGTCCGGCCCGAACACCCCGGCCCATTAGTGGACGGTAGGGTGCCGCACTGTGCCATCTCGCTGTGATCGGAACATACCGCGTTTGTGTGCGTGTTTGTGGTCCTGTATCGTTTGCCTTAGATCGGCGGCCCAATGCTGTGGGCCCCGCGTTGGGCCTTGTAAGATCCTTCCTGGCTAGACTCCCTGGCGGTAGCCGTGTGCCATTTTCAGTGTCAAACTGCTTCCTAAGAGCCGCCGCGCTCGTCATGGGCACACCACCTCCACACGGCTTGTCAGCCACCGTGCCATGTCGAAGCTACCGCCACCGCCCCGCCAAATGAGAAATACACGTCATCTCACAGCATGGCCCAGTGCGTATGGAGTGGAGTGATGGAACCAGCCTGACCGGCAATCTGTTCTTGCGTGCCGAGTCACCAGTGTTTTTAGAGTTCCAGACAGCACCAGCCACCATCAGATAGATGTATTGAGGGTAATAAACCGTCCTAGCGCTACCACATTACACAGTCACCGCCGCACTGTGTGATAACAATGGTCGCCACGCACACACACGCGATGCGCACACGCACACACCGCTCCAGGTGTCTCTGCGGCGCCGGCCCGCCCGCCGGCGGCCGGCCAGTCCCGTTCCGTGCCGGCGGCGCGGCCCGGCCGTCCATCACAAATGCACGCGCCCGCCGCCGGTCTCAGCCGAGCGGCGAGAGCTGACAATGGCGCAGCAGCGCCGAGAGCGCCTGTTTGAGCGCCGGGGTGGCGCACCCGCCGCGGCCCAGCACCACCGTCTCCGGTCGGAGCTGGCGGCGCGCCGCTGACGCCGCCGTCAGCTGGGCACTGACCGGCTGCACCAGTCGCTGGGTCGGCGGGTCCACCTGTGGCGGGAGGCGGCGTCAGCGGACTGCGGGGCGGGGGGGGGGGGACTGGGAGGGGGGTGAGCGGGGAATGGGAGCACATGGTCAACAGATAACAGCAAGACACAGAGGCGACACACGCGAAGGCAAGCTATTGCTTATAACGCTCACGATATTGGTTTATTGGTTTGCACTGATCTCGTGAACATACATACAATAAAGTGCAGGAATAAAGCTGAGACAAACAAAGTAAACGAAATTTGAAAAGAGCTTTGGCGTCACAATTCATAGAGGAAAGGTAGATGATTTGGTCACCTATCAGCCTCGTACCCAACAAACACTAAGCATCACCTAAATCCACTGTGTCACTCCTATCCATCCCTCCCATCATCCCTCTCCTTTCCTCACCGGACAATTGACAATATTGGTGAGGAGCTCGTAGGTGACCGGCCGCCGCTGCCGCACCAGACTGCGCATCTCTGCCAGCAGCATGGCCAGTCGTTTGTGCCGCTCGCCGCTCTCCGAGGGAGATACAGCCGCCTGGCCCTCAGACGGGGGCGCAGAGTTGGGCTTGGAGCCGCCGCGTGACCTGTGGGGAGGGGGAGGTGTGAGGTCAGGGGGTCGGGAAGAGAGGACTCGTCTAATGCGTGGGTGAGTGTATGACTGGGGGTAGACAGAGAAGGGCATAATGTTGGTCAAGAGGGAGGCTGGCAATGAAATGAAACATTAGACTCATCACTGGCGTAACAATAACACAAAGTCACGAAGCATGCATAACGCGGGATAAAAAACTTCGAAGATTACTCAATCTGACGACGCAACGATAACACCTGACAAGCACGCAAAAAATTCAGCGCACGCACAGCTGCAGCCACAGAACAATACCAGACACCCAGCAGCCTAATCGTCCCGCCTGATCCCCGCAAACCCTGTCGACCTATGCAACATCACACGAGACAATAATATTCATCCTCCAGTCCTCACCCAACACCCCTCCCCTCCCCAAATTAGACAACCCACTCCAAACTGCTACGCCTCTTTCCAATCACCTTCCTCCCCCACTCTCTCCCGGTCGTCCCCACCTTCAATGCCCCTCTCAGACGCAGCCGCCGCCCCCTCTGTCTGTCTGTCGGTTAGGTCTCTCTGTATCTGTATCTCTCTGTAAATATATGGTCTCTCCCTCTCTCTCTCTCTCTCTCTCTCTCTCTCTCTCTCTCTCTCTCTCTCTCTCTGTCTCTGTCTCTGTCTCTGTCTCTCTCTCCCTCCCTCTCTCACCTGCTCGGCTCGTCCCGTTCCCGCTCGCCGCCCGGCCGGGACACGTCCTCCTGTTGTTCCCGCATCTGCCGGCGCCGGTTCTTGGACCACATCTCGTGACAGTCCTGCCACACGGGAAACTTGGGTGGCGTCCTGGCGGAGGGTGATATAGGCAGTCAGCAGGGGTTGGCTGTTGATCCCGTTGGGACAGGTGGATGCGGTTGGGGGAAAGTGAGCGTGTAAGGAGATCGAATGCCAGACAATTGGCTTAAGAGGAGTCGGTGCACGGCTGAAGAAGACACAATAGTGGAAAGAACGATGAATACGTCTGCCACTGCACATTACGCCAACGTCTGTCAGATATTCATCATCATCTGGTCACAAACACTGAACAAGTGTGCCCCCACGTCTCTGATACTGCTGCTTATCTGAGCCGTGGATATGCCAGCCATGATCCAGCATGTGCAACTCGTCTGCTTTATGCTCTCTTTACCTTTCTCCATCGCCTCCGCTTACCTGTCCGGATTGACCGACTTGAGCCAGGGACTTTCGAGCGCATCTTTGGCCGAGATGCGCTTCTCTGGGTCGAGCTCGAGCATCTTGTCCATGAGGCTGAGCGCGGCCGAGGGCATGTGCCAGAACTCCTCCTTGAGGCGCCGCCGGTAGGGCTTCTTGGGTCGGAGGGTGCTCCACAGGGGCAGCTGTACGACCTTGGGCCATACAGACGGACACGGGGAGCCGCACAGCCGGGAGATCATCTCCAGCTGGGCCATCTCCACGTTCGCTCCCTGACGACAGACGGATGGGGAGGCGGTGAGGGGGAGAAGTGATTCAAATTAGTCAGAATTTCGCGAAGATCAAGGACGCAACAATCGAAGAACACATCTCAAACACCTGCGTCGAATACATGTCAGTGCATTTTTTTTTTCTTGCTGCAGTCGCGCATGCCACGGTGCACTATGTATAATCCGTTTCGGGTCTTAAGTCGGTTAGCATGAAACAGACCCCACACATACGACATCGGCCGCCGTCATACTTCCCGCCAAACAGCAGCTTCGTCCTACATGCACCCTCCCCGTCCCAGCACCGTCCACCCACCTGGAAGAGCGGCTTCTTCTGGAAGAGTTCGCCGAGGATGCAGCCGCAACTCCAGACATCCACTGCCGGCCCGTAGCGCTCCTCTCCGAGCAGCAGCTCCGGCGGCCGGTACCACAGCGTGATCACCTTGTTGGTGTACGGACGAGACTCCTCGGCGTTGTACAGCCGAGCCAGACCGAAGTCGCCCAGCTTCACCTGTCCCCTGTGGAAGTGATAAGGTTTGTGAGACGAGATACACACTGGTGAGAATTGAGGGAGTGTAGGACTGTGTAGAAATTCAGCAATGGCACGGAGGTAGAATGAATGACAAATAACGAACAGCTGACTGACAAGGCAACGACAGACGGCTGACAAACAACGTTGAGCGACAGCCAGGTAACTTATCAACAGGCCCGACGAACGGGAGGGCAAGACCAAAGCTCAGCAACCCCTCACAGACGACTTTCCAAGCCCATGTTCAGCCGAGCAGTATCTCACTGGTTGTTGAGCAGAATGTTGCTGCACTTGATGTCCCTGTGAAGGAAGTTTTTCCGGTGGCAGTAGCTGAGGCCGTCTAACAGCTGGCGCATGATGCTGGCGTTGCAGGGTTCGTTGAAGTCCACCATTCCCGACTCCAGAAGGCCCATCAGATCATGGTCCATGTACTCAAACACCAGGTAGAACGAACCCTTATCCTGTTCGGCGGGAAACAAGGGTCAGAAATACAGCAGCTGCACCGCCAGGCTCAGTGGTGTAGCGAGCGAGAAATAATAACCGCCACGATGATGGAAAACAAGATGCCAATCTCCGGGTAATAAAATGAGAGCCCTACTAAGTTTAACTCCTTTAAGAGTTTGCAGTTATAGTAAGTCAATAATTACATCAACCATCAATAAGAATAACCGCGAGGGACCGTCTAGCAGCTGTCAAACACGCACCTTCCGGAAGTCCACAGCCGTCTGTTTGTCGGTGACTATCTCCTTAATATTGACTATGTTCCTGTGGTTGAGCTGACGCAGGATCTTGATCTCTCGGACGGCCGTGATCGGGAAGCCCTCCTTCTCATTCTCGAGACGGACCTTCTTCAGGGCCACCACCTCGCCTGCGGGTGGGGTGTATGACCGTGTTAGATAGGTGGAACAGGCCGGCAGTGGCAGTTGGCCATACAGCGCAGTGCCCTGAGCGCCACTAAAGAGACGTCGCGACAGCTCAGTGACTGTTTCCAATCTAGCCAGGCGGAAACATCCACTTCAAGCTTGGTTCAGAAGTAATCAGAACAAGTAACTGCCTCTAGTTCGGAAATAACAGATGTAATGACACTTGACAACGTATCTAACAGGACGAGACTAAATCACGCTCCGATTACTGTACCGGAAAAACACCAACAACACATCGGCAGCATATTCTAAGGCCCAAGGATTAATCACAGTACTCATTTCCAGCAAATTTCATTTTAATCTGCCTCCCACTGACCGGTATCGAGATTTTTCGCCTTGTACACTTGTCCGTAGGTGCCCTGGCCGACCTGCGCCACCAGCTCGAAGGCGTCCACACACCGGTCGCCCCACGTCTTGCTCTCCGCCTGAGGATGGGGAGGGCAGGCGGTCAGACGCCGGTGGTCATAATACAGGGACACTGGAAAGCTTTACCAAAGCGATACAGAGCCGGCATCGGTTACCATCATGTAGGTACACATCATTTTGCATGCGATTCTTGATAGTATCATGGTAGTGAGCATATGTATCACTAAACATTAAATTTAATCACAAGTGTGTAACTGATCCTAACTTAGCTTATGAAAAAATAATTCGATCTTATTCTGTTGGAATACAAAAGTTTAGCAAAACTTTTGTACCATCGCGAAAAAACACACCAATTAAACCCTGGATCACGCCTGGCATCTTGGCCTCGATATCCAGAAAAAATGAACTATTTCTGTTAAAAAATAAAGAGCCGGTGCTTGAAAATACAAATAAGTATCGCAAATATCGTAATTTACTTGTGAAAATAATAAGAGAAGCAAAGAAAGCATATATCCAAGCTAAACTTAAAACATCAGACTCTAAGGAAACGTGGAATATCATCAAGGAATTGTCCACAGGCTCCTCCGAAAACATCAAATTACCTGAGGCATTCAAAACAAACAGAGGCCTAGTCCAAGACACCAAAGAAATAGTTACTATGTTTAACAAATTTTTCACGAACATCGGAAAGGAGCTGAAAAGCAAGATAAGAGAAACTGAATGCAATCCATTGGATTATCTTCCTAACTACGTAGGAATACCACTTCATCGATTCTCTGCGACAGATGAAAATGAAGTAAAAAATATTGTGAACAATATGCGCAATGTGGGAAGTGGTCATGACAAAATAAATACAAAGATATTTAAATCAACATATACATCAATAATAGCTGAAATTGTTCACTTAATGAATCTCTGCCTTCACCAAGGTGTGTTTCCCACCTTATTAAAAAGAGCTGTTATTAAGCCCATTTATAAGTCTGGGGACAAACAGTTATTCAATAACTACCGACCAATTTCTTTACTGCCGGTCATCTCGAAATTACTAGAAAAACTCATTTATGCTCGTTTAAGTGAACACTTGACTCAAAATAACATCATCTGTGATAATCAATTTGGCTTTAGGCAAGGTATGAGTACTGCGCATGACATTTGAAGTGACTGGGCCGCATTTACTTAATGTCGTGAACTCTTCCATTGTGTCGGGAGAGCTGCCAGTGTCGTGGAAAATCGCAACAGTTTCTCCCATCCATAAAGCAGGGAGTACAGCAGACCCCAGTAATTACCGGCCCGTATCAATTTTGCCAACCGTCGCGAAGCTGGTAGAGAGTGTTGTCTGTCTCCAACTGATGTCGTATCTACTGTCACACAACATACTCTGCGATGAACAGCATGGGTTCCGGCCGGGCCGATCCACGGAGTCGGCGATGCTGGACGCTGTTGGGTATTTAATGGACGGCATGGACCGTGGGTTCATTGGCTGCCTTACCACGGCCGATACGTCCAAGGCGTTCGACAGCGTTCGGCATCCCCGGCTCCTGGAGAAGCTCGGCTGGTACGGGATTGATACCCACTGGTTTGTGAACTGGCTCGGCGGGCGCAGACAGGCTGTGAGAGGTGGTGCAGGTGACACGCTGCCCATTACGCATGGCGTGGTGCAGGGGTCCCTGATCGGCCCAGTGTTATTTTTAATTTTTACAAACGATTTAGTGTCCTACATAGACACAGAGGAGTCCAAAATAGTCATGTACGCCGATGATGTCCAGTTTTTGCACCGGAGTAGACCCGACGATCTGTCTCAACTGAAAGCGAGTGTTGAGCGCACCGTAGCCACCGCGCACAGTTGGTTTAACGAAAACAGTCTAAAAATTAACCCCACTAAAACGGATCTTATTCTTATCAAGTCAAACAGGAGGTTGTTAACCTCTGAATTTTCTGTTCAATTTGGAGATGCTTCAATCAGACCGTCTTCAACGGTGAAAGTGCTGGGGATGGATGTAGACGCAGGGCTGACTTTTGAGAAGCATGTGTCTGGCACAGTCAGACGCTGCTATGCCACACTCGGAGGCCTATCAAAAATGGCTGGCAAATTGCCGGAGTCTGTAAAGAAAATGATTGTAGAAATGCTCATCTTTCCACATCTCGTCTACTGCTCTACTGTATGGGCTGGTTGCAACGCCACCCAGCGCCATCGGCTACAGAAAGTGGTAAACCACTGTGCGCAGGTGGTGAAGGGGGCGAGGAGACGCGACCATGTCACGCCGTTGTTAGCGAAACTGGAGTGGCCGTCACTCGACAACCTTGTGGCCGAGCGCGACGCATCGCAAATGCACTACTTGCTCAATAACGACCAAGCGCCAACCGGCCTCACGGCCCAAATCGCACACCGCAGTGACGTCTCCACCAGGGACACGAGGGGCTCTCTAGCCGGCTCGCTGCAGATCCCTCGAGTGCGCAGTGAACACGCACGGAAGTCGTTCTTTTGTCGTGCTGTCTCACTCTGGAACCGCGCTCCTGCGGAAGTGAGAGAGTCCCGCTCTGCCAGAGTCTGTCGGAGAAGGGCGAGAAAGTGGCTGACGACCTCCACCTAAATAGGACACTGATACTTTTTTTTAAATGGTGTTGATAACTTTTAGGCGTGTTTCATGTGTATTTTAATATTTTTAGTGTAGGGTGCAATCTTACTTTTATGCTGCATGTTTTACTTTTAATAGGTACCTGATTTTATGTAAACCTGACACTTGTTCCGAAAAGCCATCGAATGTGGACGAACATAAGAATACATGATGATGATGATGATGACGTACATGCCTATCGTAATTCTTCAAGAAAAAATTGTAAGTGCTTTTGAAAGTAACTTGAACACTTGCGGAATTTACCTCGACCTCCGCAAGGCTTTCGATACAGTTGATATCGAAATATTACTTTGTAAGCTACATAAATATGGCATATGTGATGAAGCACATATGATGCTAAGATCATACTTGAACGAACGCACTCAATGTGTACAAATTGATGACATTGAATCATCTATTCTTCCGATAAACATCGGAGTACCTCAGGGATCTATTTTAGGTCCACTTCTTTTTATATTGTACATAAATGATTTTATCTCCGTATGTGATGAACACATATCTGTACTTTTATATGCTGATGATACTGCCATTTTCATAGAAGGAGAAAACGAAAATGTACTTCAAGCTAGAGTAAATACATTAATGCCTAAAGTTGCTGAATGGTTTGCTTCCAACCAGTTGTCTTTAAACTCTGATAAAACGTACTATCAGATATATACCAATAAACGGACAGATTTTGAACTAGCAATTCAAATTGATGGTGCTGAAATTGTCCGTGCAAACACTGTTAAATACCTTGGTGTATTTATTGATGAAGACCTTAAATGGAAAACACACATAGCCAAACTGCAAACAACATTGTCGAGAAACATTGGAATGATGAATAGGTTAAAGTACCTCTTGGGCACAAAACACCTTTTGTTATTGTATCATTCTCTTTTCCAGAGTCATGTCAACTACTGCTGCTTTATTTACACTAACACTTATCCAAATAGCTTAAGTGAATTAGAAAAACTTCAGAAACGAGCTGTTAGAATAATCGATGGACAGCCAAGACTGGCTCATACTGCGCCAATATTCAGGAAATTTAAACTTCTTAAACTTAGGGATCTTGGGCATCAACAAATGTTATTACTATTACACAGAAAACTTAATGGGAACCTGCCATCTGCTATTGCTGAGCTTTTTGTAACCTCCGAACCTACTAGAATTAATCGTTCCGTTAAACATTTCTATGAGTCATTTGCATATAGAGTTTACAAAACTCATACTTTATCATGGGCTGGGCCTAGAATTTGGAACAGAATTATGGTACCTTTATTTCCTAGACTTTCTACGGTGCCAACTTCGAAATCCGTTATCAAAAACATCTCCAAAAGTTTCTTCCTAAGCCAGTATGGTTGATTCATTGAATACAGTGTTTCTCATCAATATATGTTCCATGTATATTAGTATGTACGTTTTATACACATAAAAAACATCTTTATTATCGAGTAGCTAGTTCTGTTACCCGTCCTTCCTTTTCGGTTACCCCTTTCCCATTGTGTGTATGTGATTTTTTGTGTTCTTTGTTTTTGTTTTTGTTTTTTTGCTTGTTTTTTTTTTTTTGCGTCTTTTGATATCGCCTGCCAGTCTCGTTATGTTGCCTTTATTGATTTATTGCCTTACCTGTCCTAATTTCTACACCAGCCACTTCGGAACTGGCCTCTGTGGGCCGTCTGACAACAAGCCTTGCTTAGTTGGACGGCCCTACAGAGGCTCAGTAAATGACCCTGCCTGAATTTGACCAGAGATGTTACCTACAACTATCCACTATGTATGTATGACTGTATCCCCCTCAGTTGTCTTCCTCCCACTAACATTCCCCTGTGTGAGTGAGCATCAGTGGGCGTTTCAGGGATGTAGGAGGGCAGTCACTAACTGTTTGCAGTTGTGACTACTTTGCTTCTTTTATACCATCTATTAACAGCATGCTTACTCCTCTGATATTCGCCTTCTTTTGTTTTTTTCCTTACTCTTAGCAGGGAGTGCCGCGACTTGTCATATTAAGTTTTCTGGTGTTAACGTAAGGTTCTGTGTGTCGCTGGGATAGAGGGAGGGGGCACTCCTGGTCACCTGTTCATGGGTGGCGGTGTAGAAAAAGAAAAAAAAAGTGTGACCTTGATTTATCATCCTTATCAAACACTTCTCCACATCACGCCAGCAAGTAAACAGACACCGGGACGAGTTGCGACCTTCCCCAGTCCGATTGCGACACTCTCGGCGCACAGACTGACCTCACGGCATTTGTGGATGATGCGTGGCCGTTTGAGGTTGCGCACCACGCGCCGTCGGGCGCCCATTAGCGACATACTGCCCGACATGTTACTGTCCTCGTCGCCTGAGGCGTCATCTGACCCGGCGACCACTGTTGGACAGACACAGAGGGGAGGTCAGACACGCCTGGCACTGGCTTATCATGAGCGATATTAGCGTTCCTTTCAAAGGAAGGAGAGCCGAAAGTTTTTGTAATTAAAAACAGACGATATGAAATTTCAAATGCCATTGAAAGCATAGCTGCACTTTGGGATGGTGCTTGTATAATGTGTTTGTATAGAGTATACCCCTGCGCCTAAAACAAACGCCTTAAACCGACCTGGCGGCATGGGCAGGTCCCTGATGAGCCGGTCGACGGCGCGCCGAGGCACCGGCTTCTGCTCGGGCGAGAAGTTGTCGGGCGACGAGTCAGCACCCTCCAGCTCGTCCCCCGTCATGCCCGGCGGCATGGGCAGCTTGGTCAGGCTGGGCCGGCCGCCGACCGTCGCCGGCGCCGGGGTGGCCGGTTTGGAGGGCGCCGCCGCCGCCGCCGCCGCCGGAGCGGGCTTGGCTTCGGCTGCTGCCGTCGTTACCGTCGGCGCCGACGCGGTGGACGAAGACACGGTGGCGGTGGCGGCGGAGGTGGAGGCCGCCGCCGCCGCCGGCGCCTTCCCGTCCGGCCGGTCCTGACTGACGATGCGCGGGGGCGGCGGCGGGGGCGGCGGAGGCGGACTGACCTCGATCACATCCTCGTCCTGATCGTCCTGAGCGCGGCCGGCCTTGTCCTGTACGAGCGACAGGTTAGAGGTTAATCAGTGCACGTGCACAGCGTGGACAGCTGACAGGGATGCAATTTAATAATGAAACTGGAGCTAAACATTCCCCTTGGCAAACCCAACAGCTGTGCACAGCCTAGCATTTAGCTATATCCACCATCTAACAGAATAAGTAATCACAAATTAAATGTAGAGAAAGAAGCAAAGGAGTTAAAAACTCATACTACGTGGTTTTATACAAAATGGTGACACTAGTGGACTAGCAGGCAGAAACCCCAAAAAGCACTGCCGCTATATCATTTCTCACATGTCTCAAAGGCATTCAGTTCAACGTCATTCCTAACATCCCGCTGAATCAACGCCATTTTGCCATCGCAGCTCATACCTTCTCCTTCTGGAAGAAGGGCATCTGCAGGGCCTTCTCCCTGATCTTCTTCTGTTTGACCAGCTCGGCGAACAGTGAGGTCTGGGACATTTTGGCCTCTGCCGTCAGCTCGCGGGCGGATGGCGTGCTTCGCCGGGGTGGCGGCGGCGGGGGTGAGCCATGCCGACCGCGCGACGACCGGCCCGAGTGAGACGGCGACCGGGAGCGGGGCGAGCGGGGCGAGCGTGACCGTGACCGCCGCCTGGCGACACACAGGGCAGAGGTCAGAGGTCAGAGGCCAGAGGCCAGAGGTCAGTGGTCAGAGGTCAGATGTCAGAGGTCAGAGGTCACAGCTCAGTCAAGCGACAGAAAATGGCACTGACTGGGGAGGAGAAACGACAGCTCATGCAGTTTCGTGTCACTACTTTACAGTGAGCAATTCGGACCGACCTGGAACGTTTTCTGCTGTACGGGGAACTGCGCGAGCTCTTCTTGGAGGGACGGACCGGACTCCTACTCCTCGACCGAGAGTAATTCTTCTTGTGCCTGCAGGAAACACGGTCACACAGAACGTCAAGCGACTGGAAACTTACCGAATACGATTCACGCTGTACAACATCCAGATGAATGCATACGTAACTTGAGTGGTGGGAAAGCTATTAAACACGTGCAAGAATCTCTTAACACATCGGTCGATAGTGGATTCGGGAGAACTGTCTGCCACATTCCTGGTTACGATAGGAATGTTACGTTTACTAAACGATTGTGTTTATCTTAAACCAGGCAAAGTTGATAAGGCTAGTGCCGTGAAATGCATAGCATACCGTCCACAATCACACAGAAAAGGGCACTGAACCCAAACACAATCACACATTTCTAGGCCTCTACTGAGTAAAAAAGTTTTAAACAGAAAATGCTGTTACTCGTCAGCACTGCCAGTAATTCATGCTGTGATTGAAATGAGCCCAACAACAATTAGATTATATTTCATATATGTCGATACCACACCATGCATTTATCTAAAAAAAAAAATCATGCAACAAATCTACATTCCAGTTCTAAGAGTCACTGAAAAGCATGCTTTTATCAGAGGCAATCTCTTACGACACCGCTGTCCATCGGAACTTATGTCAAAGGAAGGAGGATACCTTTTACGAGATTTGGAACGGCTGGATGAGGACTTGTGCCGATGTTTTCTCTTCTTCCTCGAGGAGGGAGACTGGGACACAGTTTGGTTCAGCTGTCGGAGGCACTGCCGCGACGACTGCTGGCGCTGCTCGGGCCAGGGCGGCTCACCGGAGGGGCCGTGTAGGTGCCGCTGGTGACCTGCGGCCGAGGCAGCCGCCGCCGCCGCGGCCGCCAGGACCACCGCCTGCTGCGGGTGGTACGAGTGACCACCCGGGCCGTGGGGCATCCTCGGGTGATGGAAGGGCGCCGCGTGCTGCGTCGGTCCCGGACCGGCCGCCCACGGCGGCGGCAGTCCCGTCCGCGGCCAAGGCGGCGGCCGCCAGTCGCCCGGCACGGACGGAGGACGGCACCCACCCGGCCACGGAGGCGCCGACATCGCGGACGGCACAGGAGCCGACTGCCACCGAACCCAGCGAGGCGGCACGGCAGCGGCGCCGCCCGCCGGACAGCCGCCCGGCCACGGCTGGGGTGGCCGCTCCAGCTGCTGTGACGGGTGTGGCTGCTGGGGTGGTCTCTGCGGCTGCTGTGACGGATGTGGCTGCTGGGGTGGTCTCTGCGGCTGCAGCTGCGGAGATATCTGCGGTCGGGGCGGCCTCTGCGACTCAGCCTGCCTTGGTCTCTGCTGCTGCGGCGGCAGGTAGGGTATCTGCCGACGCACCATCGTGATCAGCTGGCCCAGCGCATCCACCTTAGACTTCGCCGGCGCTGGCGGCGAGCCCTCACTGTCGCTGTAGCTGACCAGACGCGGATCGTCCGCCGCCGCTACCGCCGCCAGCTTCGAGCGGGCCCGTGCGAGTTTCGCCGCGGCCGCTGCTGTCTGTGACGTTGTCGGCTGCTCCGTCTGGGTATCGGGCGTCGCTGCAGCGGCAGACGGCGGGTTGGATGGACGTGTGGCAGGTCCGACCGGTGTGTCGGCCTGAGGCTGGCTGGATACGGATGTCGGCTCTGGAAGATGGCCGTTCGCCGCCACTGGTGGACTGGAGAGGGCAAGGGGACGACGGAAGGAAGAAGTGAGATAGGGGATGGTGATGACGCATTGCTGATGGTCATGATCTTCATTAGGACCCATAAAATGACGACACTACGGAAAACCGAACAGAAGTCTAGCATAGTCAGGATATGAAAAGAAGCAAAACACCACAAGTATTCAACCATTCGCCAGCCCACACACATATCATGCACATGCCAATGCAATAAATAAACATCACCAAACATTCTGAAAATCTGTATTTAACCAGCACCGCCACAAGCCTTAGTCTCAGTCCCAGCACCATCGTCTCTCCCCCATGCCGTCTGCAGCATGCCGATCGCGGACTCACCTGGGCGGTGGAGACCTGCTGTGGCTGCGACTGCGGCTGTGCCGTCTCCGCCGCTCCCGCTCGCGACTCCGCGACCGAGACTTGCGCCGCTTCTCTGAGGGCTGCGGCGGCGGCGGCGGCGGTGTGTGGGGCCGCCCACGGCCCGACCACCGGCCACTGTCCGGTGACGGTGGGGTGCGAGCTCCCCGCGGCGGCGGCGGTGGAGGGGGAGACTCGCGCAGGTCCCTCAGGTCGCGCAGTTCGCGATGGTTGCGCAGCTCGCGGTGGTCGCGCAGACCGCGCACCAGCGGAGAGTCGCGCATATCCCGCGAGTCCCGGCCGTCACGGCGCCTTAGGTGCGCCCGGTCGCCGTTCGGCGAGCCGGCCAAACCGTCTGAGAGAGGGGTGTCCGGACTGGGCGGCTGCAGCATGGCCCGGCGCCGCGACGCCTTGGGCTCTTTGCCGCGGTACACTGGGGCACTGGTGGCCGCCTCCTCGGGCGAGGAGAGCGGACTGGCACTGGGTAGCCGCTCATCGGCCTCTGCGTACCGATGGCGCTTCCGTTTCTTCCGGCCGCCACCACCGCCGCCCCGGTCCTTGTCTTTCTCACGCTTCTTTTTCTTCTTCTTATCCCTGGCTCGGTACCGATCGTTCGCTTCTGGTGAGTCCGGCATCGCGTGGCCGTGGTCAAACAGATCTACCGGTTGCGGGGGAGGCGGCGGCGAGGGTGAGGGTAGCAGCGGCGGCGGTGACAGCGGCGGGGGGATTATCACAGGTAGCGGCGGCGGCGGCGGAGGAGGAGCGCGGCGGCGGCGCCGGCGGCGCGGACGGCGCGGGGCCTCCGGCGAGAGTTCTCCGTCGCTGAGGTTGCGGCGCCGCGCCGAGGTGCTGTCGTCACTCTGGATCTCGCCAGCCTCGGGTCCGCTCAGCGCCTCCGACGACACGTCCGAGTACTCGACCAGAGGCTTGCCGTTCATCATCGTCTCGGCCGGCGAGCTAACCCAGCTGCCACATCGCCTCGGTCCGCTGCAACAGCCGCCACAGGCGCAGGTCAGCCGCCAGGCCGGGCAGGGTCGGTGAGTCTAAAGTCAGCGACGAGGAGTGTTTTGATTTTTAGAAAGGAACTACTACTTCATGTTTGAGATGCTCTGTGGTTCATATTTTGAACATACAAAACTCCTAATATTCAAATATGTCGACAATACTGTTTCCTGTATCCCTTTACATGTTGGAAAAACTTTAACCCATGCCGGGCCGGGGGGGGGGGTTGAACACCCCCACTCTCGGCTCCTTCACTTCACTTGGCTCCTAGGCTAGGTCGCGTAGCGACAGCCGGTAAGCGGCATTCGAAAGAGCGTAAAAAATCATGATGAAAATACTTCAGTCATTTTTTTCGGCCAGGTCAAAGGTCAAGTCACTAGAGGTCATCCAAGGTAGAATTTTGGTAAAATTTCAAGATTCTTGACATACCGGCGCACAACTCGGGAACCAATAGAGCTACGGAGTTGCAGAAAAACGCATTCGATAGCTCTTTTAAGCTTTTTTGCTAACATGTCCTCGGAACTCGGATTTGACCTAAGATCAACGATTCAGTCTCCAGAGGGAAAAAAAGTTAAATATAACCGTTTTTAAGTAGTGTTTTTCGATTATAACTTTTGACTCAAGAAAGTCACGGCATTTATTTTGCCAGCGTGTTTCTCTCGTCGGGACGCATCAAATGAACTATAATTTGACCTTGAAAGGTCATTTGGAAAATTTGACCCCAGGTCAAGGTCATGACCTGACCGGAAAAGGTTATGCTGCACCCGACCGCCGACCCGTCTTATCCGACGTCCGACCGCCGCCGACTTATCAGCCGACCGTATCGCGGGGAGGGGTCACGACTCACGGGTGCAATTTTCCGATTCAGTGTGTCAAGTTTGCCGATGTCCCGATGTCTGAGTGTTTTGAATGACGTTCGTCAAAAAGAGGCGCCTTTCAATTTTCTCTCATTGACTTATAATGGAGAGGGCGCGAAATTGATCTGAAAGTCACCGATATCAAAATTCAGAGATATACATTTTATAAGTAGGCACTCTTTCGCTGAAAGTTTCAAGGCAATCATTCAATCGGTGTAACTAGCTAGGACGAGCATTTTTATTTTTAGGTGAGGTCACTTGACGTGACCTGGTGACCTGACCTTAAGCGACCTGGGTCCGAAATTTTCCAAACATGTGCGGAAAAGATGCATAAACAGGTGTGTCAAAAACAGCGGCACAGTTTTGAGATATCTGAAAAACCGCAGGGGGTGTCCGAACACCCTCCGGCGTGGGTTAAAAACAGGGCTGCGGAGTCGGAGTCGGAGTCGGAGTCGGAGTCGGTCGGAGTCGACAGTTGTGACCGGAGTCGGAGTCGGAGTCGGAGTCGATTTTAGAAACCCGAGCCGGAGTCGGAGTCGGAGTCACCGAAAATCTGTCGACTCCGCAGCCCTGCTAGGTCTGCGGAGTCGGAGTCGGGAGTTGGAGTCGGTCGGAGTCGACAATTCTGCCCGGAGTCGGAGTCGGAGTCGGAGCTGGTTTTTGAAAGCCGGAGTGGGAGTCGGAGTCGGAGTCGCCGAAAATCAATCGACTCCGCAGCCCTGGTTAAAAAGGAGCCAAAGTACTGAATACCACTGCTTTTTTATCACCATGCTGAATGCTGCTTTTTAGCCCATCATTTAGCTCAAAAGCACTTGAAAACTTGGATTCAAAGCCTCCTTGCCAGGCAAAATGCCTAGTATTTTGTGTGTGTGCATGCAAGAACCCTGAATCCATATACCTCTAAGGTAATCAAACATCCAGAGCTGACAGTAACATTGACCTGCAGTACAATTTTCATGCTGGCTAGTTGACGACAAAATCATCACACGACGTCTCTCGATTAGAAAGACAGCTGGCGTAAAATCGATGACATGCTCGATTGTCCTACAAGTTTGTGCAGAAGAACCGGATTCAGAAAAAAACGAGCATTATCACGGTTTGGGCCCTCAATAGTTCCAACCGTTGAGATGATGTCAATTCCGACGTTACCCTGGAAAACGAATCAGATGAAAGCTTTCACATAATTTTGCGATGTTTCGGCGGTTTGACATGTTCCGCCGACGTTAAAGATCAATTAGCTCACGAGTTATGCCATCACTTCGTACGCAATGTCAGGATCGGGAATGTTGGGAACGGGAAAAGGAAATTTTCGATGAACTCTCGTGAAGTCACGAACGGGTCGACAAACTCTCAAGACCGAGTTGCTCTCCAACAGTGTGACAACTGAATCCCCATCACATGGTGGGTCAAAAAAGTTAAATGTGGACAGGGACCACACCCACACCTACATTGTGGCCCACAAGGTAAGCAGTCATTGGAAGGCATTTTCATGCTCATAGATACCTACCCTGCATTCTGTGAGCATAGAATAAAAACATCAAGCAGGGTCAAGAAGGTCATAAAAATGATGACAAAAAACTATTTAACTGTCAGCTTCTCCAATAGATGTCTTGCTGGGAACACAAGGCAGACAAGTGGTGGCTGGTACCCACTAGACCCTGGTCTTGGAGCCTGGTCTTTATGGCAAGTGTGATACTGTTAGCACACAATTGCCTGGTACCTATATCAATTGTTATGCTCAACAGGGAAACTGCTTGGGCAGCTAAGAAAGCTGCCCAAGCTGACACCACTTGGGAGCTTGGGCACCACTGAGCTTAGGTACCACTGACAGGAGCATTAACAGGGCATAGTTAATGTGCCACTTGATGTGTCTCCAGTGTGCTCCTCCTGACTGGCTGAGATGATGATTGCACCCTAGGGAAAATGCATTTGTCATTACCATTACTAGCAAAGAAAACCTAATTCAGAGACATGAGTGTCAATGTTTACCTACTGAATTTAGATGACAGGAAAAGGGATACATGCCCTGTTTTTGAGGATGTTGTCTTTGGGTCTGTTCCAGTCACACTTCCTAACACCTCTAAACTCCTTCAAGATTGCTTCCCTGTTCCAGTGGCAGCTCTAGCCCCTATAAAGCCAAGGAGGGCCCTGTTCTAACCTCCTCTATCTTGCTCTTGGAGGAGTTTAGAGGCGTTAGGAAGTGCGACTGGAGCAGACCCTTTGTGATTACTCCTGCATGAATCATCCAGGGAGAGGGCACTTAATTTTACGCACAGGAGACAGGATCCACCATTTCTACATCACCTAAAGCTGGGGCTGACAGACATCAGCTGACTGACAAGCACATTTGAGTCAAAGTGGCAGGTCGTTTCATAACATGCAATTCGTTTACTTGTGCGATTAAATACATCTTATGAATTATCAAAATGCAAAGTAGTTGTAGATGCAACAAAATGGTGTTATAGTTGATACAATAAATTAACTTTTACATCATTTTACGAGGCTCAAAGATACAAATTTCACCAATAATCCACTAGGCTTACGCACAAGGCTCACACATAGCATTATAGCTGCAAGCAAGAAAAATCAGCTTAACTCACCTGAAATCCTGATATCGTTCTCCCGGTTGATACTTGATAAATAGGTGTATTGGACGATTGGTAAACGGTACGGAGATGGATGTCTCGTCAATCTCTATCTTTGGAAAAGAACAGCTGAAATCGAGCTGCAGAGCTGATTGAAACTTTTTCTTTTGTTATTTACCGTCTGCTGACGCTATTTTGGAACTAAAAATTATCCTTTTTATGACCGACAAATCATCATTTCCGCATATGTCAAAAGACCTCGGGATAATAATGGACAAGCGCAATGTTTGTCGTCTTTGCGGCGTGGCTGCGACAAATTCAACCACGTTGAAGGAAAATATCAGTCGGAATCTTTTAGGCAATCACTAATCAGATAAAACCATTGAGCAACTCATTAATTTCACAGTATATTTATCTAACCGCAGCTAAAAAAGAGTCAACTTTGCATACTTTGCCCTTCTCTCAAATGTGTTTTTTTTCATTTAGATGCAATTAAAATGAAGGGTTCTTTCCTTGGATACTCTCGATTTGCTCCCAATCGTCAAATACCAAAGAGCATGAAATAATTTGCTTTCTTTCGCTTTCCCTATCTTACCATCCCTTCAAAATCTTCATGCTTTGTAAGTAAATTCATTATGATGTTTGAAGGCGGGCTTTAGGAGAAAATGACGTCAAATAAAAATATTAGTTCTTTTATACGATTTAAACGTTCGAGGCAAAGCATTTTCATCTTATCTATCTCCCATTAAAATAAAAGATTCAATATGTCTTGAACATCGCTCTCCGAATTTGTAATAACTTCAAATTTTTGATTTGAGTGCTTGTAAACTGTCATCAGCTGCGCGTGCGCAGTAGCCATCGAGGAGTTCGAGTTTGTAAACAATGATGGCGAGGGAATTTGTGCTGTATATGGCGTCCTAATGGGTGAAGGGGAAGGTGACATGAAAGAAATGGTTGGAGGCTGCTGTGTCTGCTCCGACGAGAGCGGTTGGGACGAAAACCCTCTGGTTTATTGCGACGGCGATGGCTGCAATGTGGCGGTGCATCAAGGTAGGAGACGAAAGTAGCGCACCACTACTTTCATGGCAAGTTTGGTATTTCTTTGTGTTTTTTGTAAGTTAATCGATGCAGTTGACTAACTAATCGTTTTTCTTCAGTATGAACACAGGCTCTTTATTTATATACTCTGTGTTTTAAACATGGTGTCACTCTGTGTTTTAAACATTTAAACACTCGATACCGATTGGGTGAATCTCCGAATGTCCTAGACCTCATATTCACAAATGAGGAGGGTATGGTGAAAAACCTCCAATACCAGCCAGGTTTGGATAGAAGTGACCACCTGATTCTGAGATTCAACCTGGCCTGCTACTCAGACATGTCACTGCCACGTCAACACAAGGTCACTGACTATACCCGCCTGGCGGGGATGCTCGGGGCACATGATTGGAGCCGCCTTATTGAAATGGATCTTGATGAAGCCTACACTGCATTTAAAACCACCATATCCAAAGCTACGGAGAAGTGCTCCAAAACCAAAAAGGCGCGACACAAAAACATCTACTTGAACCGTCAAGCAATGCAATTAAGGAAGAAGAAAAAATCCCTGTGGGATGTATACTCCATCACTCTGGACCCTGTGGATCATGCCAGATTCACCCGATGCCGAAACGAACTGAGAAGCTTGACCCGGAAACTCAGAATAAGCTTTGAGTCCAGCCTGGCTCAGGACCTGAAACAGAATCCAAAAGCGTTTTGGCGGTACGCAAGTTCCAGACTCCGAACAAGGTGCCGAGTCGAGGACCTTCTGGACGACCGTGGAGTGCTCATCTCTACCAACGAAGAAAAGGCTGAGACACTGAGTGCCTTCTACGGGACCATCTTTACCGAGGAAGGAGACGAACCAATGCCGACAATGCGCTACCGCTGGGAAGGACCCACTCTTGAAGATATCGACGTCTACCCGCAGTTAGTGGAGAAGAAACTTGCAGCCCTTCGACCAGGTAGCTCCCCAGGGCCGGACGCCATCCACCCCCGCGTGCTCCGGGACTCATCACACGCTCTGTGTACCCCGCTCAGCATGATCTTTCGAAAATCTCTAGACGCAGGAGAGCTCCCTCCGGACTGGAAATCGGGTGAGGTAGTCCCAATCTTCAAAAAGGGAGATCGCCGAAAGCCAGAGAACTACCGTCCTGTAAGTCTCACTGCAATTCCTGTCAAAATACTGGAGTCAATCATCCGAGACAGTCTTTTGCAACACTTCTGCGGGAACGGTATTCTGCACAGTTCCCAACATGGATTCCTCCCACGAAGGTCGTGTACCACCCAACTCATGGAGGTGATGGAGCACCTGAGCGCCTGTATGGAGGATGGCGACCCGGTTGACGTAGCCTACCTTGACTTTGCCAAGGCGTTCGATTCTGTGCCTCATCATCGACTAATCCACAAGCTCCAAGCGTACGGCATCAAAGGCAAACTTTTGGACTGGATCAGGGCCTTTTTGCTCGATCGCCGACAAAGGGTCGTGATCCAAGGCACAAGATCGAGATGGACGAGTGTCCTCAGCGGGATACCACAGGGCTCAGTCCTCGGGCCAGTTCTCTTCACGATCTTCGTAAACGACATGCCCCTGGAAGTCTCCAGCCACATAAAGCTCTTCGCCGATGACACGAAGATTTACCGCCGGATGATGGTCAATCAGGATGACGTTGGCCTGCAAGCCGACATTGACGCGCTTGGTGAGTGGTCCCGAAAGTGGATGCTTCCTCTCAATGTCGCGAAATGCAAGGTAATGCACATTGGGCACCAAAATCCAAACCTGACCTACACCCTGCACGGTACCCCGATCGAAGAAACCGGCGAGGAAAAGGACCTTGGAATTGTCATCGACAGTGACCTGAACTTTAAGAAACAGGCATCAGTTGCTGTATCAAAAGCTCGTCAAATCCTGGCTGTATTGAGACGCTCTTTTGCAAACATCAACGAGACAACACTACCTCTGCTCTTCAATGCTATGGTCAGGCCGCTGCTGGAATACGGGAACACGATATGGGGACCTTTTAGCATAGGCAACCAGAAGAGACTGGAACGAGTTCAGCGTCGTGCGACAAAAATGGTCCACTCCGTGAGCCACCTGACATATCCTGAACGACTACGTAGCCTCGGAATGCCGTCACTGTACTATCGCCGACGCCGAGGTGATATGATCACCGTGTACCAGCTGCTGCACGGAGGCATGGCGCTGACACCGGAGGAGTTTCTGATACGGAACGAGTCTGACCGGACAAGAGGACACCGCTGGAAACTGGACAAGCCACGAGCTAGGAAGCTTGTGCGCAGAAACGCCTTCAGCACCAGAATAGTCAACGATTGGAACTCACTCCCAGACTCCGTAGTGTCAGCGACATCGGTGAACCAATTCAAGGCGCGGCTGGACAATCACTGGAAGAACAAGATGTACGACATCCCCTTCCCCTAAGAGTCCAGAATGTACATCCTCACGAGCTCGATGAGAGCGGGATCCTCAGGCCAAGTGGCCTTCTTTAACCCGAACACCTTGAAGGTAAGGTAAGGTAAGGTAAGGTGGTGTCAAGCAATGCCGGTAGCGGAAGCGCAAATGTGATGTGCTTGTCGATGGATGGATTCAAGTCCGCAATGCTTGAAGAATGATGGCACTGATCTTATCGAGCATGCTTGACAGTCAAAAGACTGGTTTCTTAGTTAGGTGGGTTGATACTATCCTGTCACCTGGTGACCTGTTTACCACCTAGGAGAGTGACATGACTTGGTGAAGTAGGTACATTGCCTAGTAGTTAGTACCCACCTACAGAATCAGAATGAGCAAGCTTCCATGATCACTGGTTATGGGACTTTTGATGCTAATGCTTAAATCATCAAATAATCAACAGTTTTCATGATGACTAGATATGTAAGACTTATTTTGATGGTGTTTTTGGAAAGTTGAAGCATGACTGTTATGAATAGGTTTTAATTTTAGTACCTACCTATTTTTTTGCATGGTAAAATGTTTTATCATTTGACTGACACTGCTCTGAAGCATGGCAACCCATATTTATGGCACTTAAAATCCATAGATAGATAACCATTGTATGCCAAACTGATTACTTACAGGAATAAAAACCTTTATTATTCCATGTCATGTTTGCTTTATGCTTTGCTTCTTGACTAAATGCATGGTAAATGAGTGAAATCCTAATCCATTTTTTTTTGTGTGCCACAAGTGTTGTTATTATCATTATTTAAAGGGACCCTCCCACCTTAACATTAGATTTGAGTTGAGATAGCCAAAATGGGGTCCCTGGCTCACAATTACCGGTTTCGGCACTCACAACATCGAGAAATGCCTTGAATCGGAAATATTGAATTTCAAAATTGCAGCATTTTGATTCAGAGGGGCTAATGCTTAGGAATACCCCTCTGAATGTGTGACGTCAGCGCAGATATCTAACGATTTTTTAATGTTTGACTAAAACGTTTTGTAGCACGCGGTGGTATATGCTATTTGCGCGCAACATCTGCCGCAAACGCCGCACTTCTAAAATAAAGTCGCTAGAAACAACGGAGATCCCAAAAAAGTAAACAAAAGTAAAAGTCTAATATCTTGAAAACCGGCGAGTATTTTTCGGTGAAATTTGGTAGATATTCGTTTTCGCTCTTTCTGAACCGAGCGACATCACTTTCATGCCAATTCATAAACTTTTTTGAAGGTGGGAGGGTCCCTTTAAAGATGGTATTTTGTTTATGTGCCTAAAAATCTTAAAAGATTTGCATATTTTGTTAGAAATGCATGCTGAATTTGACTTAATAGGTGCAAGCTATATTCCTAGAGTTTTTCCTATCCCTTATAATAAAGCTAGCTCAAGCTCCCTCATCATTATTGGAGGCAGAGGGTTAAGTGTCTATGTTCATTACTTAGCTAAAAAAAGTTTTATTAGTTATTTAAAATTAAAAATCAATAACTATGATGACAAATTAAATAGGTGATTTCTCAAGGAAATTTGATTAGAAAATACCTACTAAAATAATTCAGCAATTGAAAACACATATTTATGCATCTATCACACACAGTCCACATGACTACTTTGTAAGCCCTCTTCTTGGTACTATTTTTTCTATTTCTTGTTTCTATTACTCATTCAACTTGTTTACCTATTGTCTGCTATGACACTCACAAAGTAGAATCTATAGATTGCTTTGGTGTCATGAGTGATGAATTTCAAACTTGGGCTACCTATGTGGGGAAATGTTATTTTTGGAGATATGAAGGGATAGTGCATTAGGCTATGTGTTTAAAACCTAGAAACAAAGCTCTGAAGTATAGATTAAATAAACCATTAAAACAAAAATAGAGGACTTACCATGTCTGTTTTCACACTGTTAAAGATAAAGTAGTTTGATATTCAATGCAGTGCATGGTGTCATGTTTTTGATGGAAAATGCATTAATTGTTTTGTTCCACTCATGACTGCCAACAACAGAAAATTTACACCCTAAGCTGTTGCTGACAGCTTAAATTATAATATAGTTATAATATACAGTTATACTAGTTATAATAGTAAATAGTTAATAGTTAGTTAGTTATACTTGTAATAGTTCTAATAGCCAGATTAATAGACTGCTTGCTTATTGAAGTATAATGTTAGGAAGCATGCTGTTACTTTTGTGTAGTGAACTTTGTAAAAAGTGTAACCCTGTTAGTATTTTAATCTTATCTGACCTGGTCATAAGCTATTGCACAGACTTCTCTATATATGGACTGTGCGCTGATCCGAGGAAATCAGCATTGGAGGCCCAAAAATAAGTGCACTTTTATCCATCTTTTTACAATGAAAAGGGTGTCAGAATATTTACAAATTTGGGTATAGGATAGCCCATACTTTTATCTACCTGTCGGATTACATTTTTTTGTTGAATTCAAAATAAATAAGAAATAAATGTATATAAATGAGAACATGTTTTCTCGTTCAGTTAGCCATTTGTTCACGCTGGAGGTATATACTTCACAAATGCAGCCGTACTTTGCGCGCATTTTCTTGCTTTTGAATGTTGGTTGCATTGTTGGTTGTCGTTGCTAATTTGTCGGAACTAGTCATTTACGTTGGTTTTGAAAAGGGTTTTGAGAAATAACGATACATTATATAGGGCCACAACAAGCAGTAAAAATAAGTAAGAAATAGCTCGAAAGAATGGTCAAAAAAGGAAAGAATATTATCGATCACTACCTCATCACGACCGGATCAGAAAACGTGTGGTGCGAAGATGTCATTCCGGGTATCAAGCCAGAGTCAGGGCAAGAAAAATGTGAAACGAAACATAATTTCCAGCAAAAAGGCAACTTTTTAGCCTCCCGTATAACTAAAAGGAAAAAATGTTCACAGACGAAACCATCAATCGAGATAAGCGATAACGCTGAGGACAATCAGATTTGCAAGTTTACTTTTGCAAACACTGACTCCTGTGAGACTCACACAGCAAGAAGAAAAACAGGCGCTATCGACGGCGCCAGTCTCAGCATACTTCCTATAATGCCTAGTGCCTTATTTTATTCTGGAGAAAAAAAGACTCACTGAAAGGAGCTACAAAGACTTAACTTGACCAGCAGTTAATGTAAAAAGAACAACTCGCCATCGCAGTTCGAAGCTACGCCGCGCTAAATAATGCCATACCCATGGCAGTGCCACTACATCCAAAAGAAGTAAGCTTATTCAATCAAACAATGAAGTTTATCCAGTGTGTCGGATGGGGATGTAGTTCATTATGGTCTGGATCAAATCATCTCGGAAGAATGCTCGATGAAATGATGGAATTCGTACCCTTCGCATCAATGTTAAACGATGAAGGTTGCCGCTCTTAAATGTTACCGCAAAACTTGCATCGGGATCGGGAAGCTCAAGAATACGCCAGTCTGCGAAGAACGGACGGAAAAATAGCGGTGGAGCAGAAACAAGATGCATAGGACTGATTGGAGTATAAGTAGCTGGGACAAACATCTGTGCCGGTGGTGGCCTGTTATTACAGGAACTTCTACTTTGGATATCTCAGGAAACTGGCAGGTCACCATTTCTAGGCCAGCTGTGGACATTTTTGATGGAGAAGCCAAGAAATGTGCCAAGGGCGAAGAGCATACTGTAACTAACGAGCTACAGAATATGACGGAGGCGCCGGGGGCACTAATCGTTTGGCCGAACGGGGAAGAGCACTCGATCCGCGCCCCGGCAGGTTACCTGTGCTCCAGCTTCCGAGCTGAGATGGTCGCCCTCCGAGCTGCTCTCTCCTAGCTGCTGGAGAACCCGCCGCACGCCGAAGACACCATCGTAGCCTGCACCGACTCGCAGTCCGCCCTCGCCGCCATCCGAGGTGGCTGGGCCGCCCAGCACTCCTCGCTCGGAGTGGACATCTGGAGAGCCCCCTGGGGACTGACAGCTGGAGGCCTGTTGGTCTACCTACAGTGGGTGCCCTCACAATGCAGGTTTGAGGGCAACGAGAGGTCCGACACCATCGCCAAGAAGGCAAACATACTCGACTAAAAACAAATCCTTATAGACGTCCAGAAGGCCCACTGGGCCGCCGCCAGAGTGGCGAGGGCTCGCACCGTCGGGGCCTGGCCAGCCGGCTGGTTCCACCAGCTGACGGGGATCGACTCCCGCCTACCGTTGCCGGCGGCGACCGGCCAGCGGCGGTGGACATCTGCACCAGCTCCGCGCCGGCCACTGGACAAGCTCCTCCCAATGGCGCCACAGAGTCGGGTTGGCGCCCTCCTGGCTGTCGGGGTGCAACCAGTGCGACGACCGACAATGCAGAGCCGCACTCTACCCGTCTGCTGAGAGGAGGCGGACAGCCAAAGCATGTCCTCCTGCGGTGCCCGGCTCTGATGGGCACCCGACATCGCCTGATGGCGACCATCAACCCCAACATGGAGGAGGTGCGGAGCGGCAGCATCGTGGTGGCCCTGGGGGCCGCCCACAGGTCCCTTCAGAGCTGCTCGGCTACGTCTCCATGGGACGAAGGGACACAATAAAAGCAACAATAGCTACAGCATGACAACGTGATGGGAACGACCGTCACAAGAGCTATCGCCTTATCATTCAGCACCGAGTGGAAAAGAGCAGACGGAGGGATACGTTGCAATTGGTGATGCGCATGTGCGAATGTGTGAAAGTGCGACTATGTGTAGATGCGTGGTGCGAAAAAGTGGGTAGCAGAGAAGAACAGTGAAGACACCGTTGCAGCAGACACACATTTTCCCGTAAAGTCCCCCATCGGCATTACCGCCAACCTTTACCACCAGCGCGGTCGGTGCACTGTCGCGCGAGTTTGTAGCCAGCCATGTCAGAGATGTGAACAATCCAGCACACGGGGGAAGAAGAAAGGGATGATAGCCGCCCTTTCTCGCTGGATCCCGCGGTGAAAATGGACTAACGCCATTTTCAAGCCCACTGGTGCAATGTGAGATGAACTTGACATGAGGACATCAATGGGTGTCGATGAACGTGAAATGATGTTCCAATACAGATTCATATCGACCAGAAGCCTTTCTTATTCTGAGCTACGAGCAATAGATAGTACAAAAACAAAATATATTACATAAAATTCAGCCTGTCGACAGGAAACAATAAAAGGGTATTGTCCTACAACATATGGGTTCATATTACGGCTTCAGAAATTTGGGCCTCCAATGCTGATTTCCCAAATCAGCGCACAGTCCATATATAGAGAAGTCTGTGGCTATTGTCATTTAAAGCAGGGCTGCGGAGTCGGAGTCGGAGTCGGAGTCGGAGTCGGTCGGAGTCGACAGTTGTGACCGGAGTCGGAGTCGGAGTCGGAGTCGATTTTAGAAACCCGAGCCGGAGTCGGAGTTGGAGTCACCGAAAATCTGTCGACTCCGTAGCCCTGCTAGGTCTGCGGAGTCGGAGTCGGGAGTTGGAGTCGGTCGGAGTCGACAATTCTGCCCGGAGTCGGAGTCGGAGTCGGAGCTGGTTTTTGAAAGCCGGAGTCGGAGTCGGAGTCGGAGTCGCCGAAAATTCATCGACTCCGCAGCCCTGATTTAAAGTGTTAAGTAACTGACAATTTTGTAGACCATTTACTTCAGCTATGATTCTTACCTTAGAATAAGAAACTGTTTTACTTTGCTTCCACAATCTCTTTACACATCACAGGTATTTTGCTTCTGCCAGGAAACATCGTTATACATTGAAGCATACCTAGGCACAGCAATGGATTTCCTGGTACCGCGGAGCCCGAAGAATAAAAGCCAATGTGTAGTTAGTCTGGTTTTGGCCGTAGCTCCTCAAGCCCCGATGGATACGAGGCTCTTTGCCTTTCCGTGTTGCAAGCTCCTTAGTTACACAATTCAGCTGCTAACTATTCAAACCAGCCTAGTCCAGAATTATCGTTAAATATATGCATATAGATAAAAGAAAAAAGGCGTTTAAGAATCGGTCAATTTCGAAATCGTTTAGCCAGAGGCCAAAAATAAGCTTCGTGTGACTATCAACTTTGCCTCTCCACTGGGGAGAGCGGCGAAAACAACCGCGGCGCTGGGCGGGTATCGAAAGGCTAAACTCTGGACGGGGTTAACCCTCCCGGAGAATAAGACGCCGAGACCAGAAAGAGGCCTCAATTCCAACGCTGCCTAGGCGTCTTCTTCTATCCCTGTCACATAGTTCTATTGTCAATGTTTCAACCGGCCATTGTATGTCACATCACTGCTGTGTTATCCAGGTTCTTCCTACTCGCTACCATCACGTCCCGTGTTGCAGCGTGTTCGCCTGTCTCCACAGTCCACTGACGTACGTTCCCTGTTGCAGCGTGTTACGGAATCGTGTCGGTACCACCGGGACCGTGGTTCTGCCGCAAGTGCGAGTCCCAGGAGCGGGCGGCGCGTGTGGTGAGTGACGGCCGGCGCGACCGAGCGGGCGGTGGTACCCTGGCCGGTCAGCCTCTGCGTGCTGGGGTTTCTCCTGGTTATTTTTCTTTTCTACCCGTCGAAATTCGCTGCATTGTCGACACGGGTACGGCTCCGGTGCATTATTATTTCAGTAACCTTTGTTCGGTTAGATATCCACCAACCTTTGAGTGAAATCCATCTTGTTTACGGTAATCATTACCACTTTATTTGACCTCTTTGAGTGACCTCACTGACCCCACTTTCTCAGACATGTGACCCGACGACTGACCTGAATGACCTCCCTCCGTCAGCGCTGCGAGCTGTGCCCGAGCAAGGGCGGCGCCCTGAAGCGGACCGACACCAGCGGCTGGGCGCACGTGGTGTGTGCGCTGTACATCCCCGAGGTGCGGTTCGGAGATGTGGCCACCATGGAGCCCATCCTGGTCTCCATCGTGCCGCCCGACAGATTCAGCAAGGTGAGGAGCGCGCGGGGCGAATTTAGGGAGTGGTTAGTGTGGTGGAGTCTGGTGGATGACCAATCTGACGAGCTCAGCGTGCATGTCTTTCTTATTCTAGCGACAGAAACTTTGTTTTAACTTTTATTACCTTGTGCGCTTTTTGCTTGCGATTTTAATTTGCCACCTCAGTCACTTCGCTGTCAATTGCTGCTGCTTTCGAATGTTTGGATGTCGCATCCCAAATACAAACACTGTTCATACATTAGCAGATTGGTTGATCTGCTGTTCCAAGCCTAACTGGGCACTAAAACTCTACTCTTCACTGTTCCTTACATACACCATCCAATCTCCCTGTCATTTATCGTCTGTGTGTGTATGATGTGTCTGACCAGTATGTGATCCGTCCCCTCTCGCCCACAGTCGTGCTACCTGTGCGAGCTGAACGGACGGGCGAGCAAGGCGCAGATGGGAGCCTGTATGAGCTGTAACAAACCCGGCTGCAGGATGAACTTCCACGTGACGTGCGCTCAGGGCCACGGCCTGCTCTGTGAAGAGCAGGTGCAGAGCATGAACAACGTCACGTACTGCGGGTACTGCCAACACCATTACGCCAAGCTGGTGAGTCTGGGGAGTTATAGGGAGTGGTATTGTAGGTATGTGGGCATCACTCCAGAACAGTGCTGGAAATGAGGCCGCTTTCTGGTCCCGGCGTTTTATTCTCCGGGTGAGTTAGCCCCGTCTAGCGCTTAGCCTTTCGGGACCCTCTCAGAGCCGCGGTTGTTTTTGCCGCCTGGCCCATTCGAGATGCAAAGTTGATAGTCGCACGAAGTTTATTTGGGGCCTCTGAATATACGACTTCGAAATTAATTGATTCTACAAAACCTTTTTCTTTCATCTATATGCATACATTTAACAGTAACTCCAGACTAGACTGGTTTGGCTGGCCCTAAATAAGCTTCGTGTGACTTTTAACTTTGCATCTCGACTGGAGCGAGCGGCGAAAACAACCGCGACCCTGAGTGGGTCCCGAAAGGCTAAACGCTGGACGGGATTAACCCGCGAGGAGAATAAAACGCCGGGACCAGAAAGCGGCCTCATTTCCAGCACTGCTCCAGAAATATTGTTTATTTTTATTGCCATTTGTCGCTGTAGTTTAACCTTTAGGTATTTTAAAGGGACCCTCCCACCTTAACATTAGATTTGAGTTGAGATAGCCAAAATGGGGTCCCTGGCTCACAATTACCGGTTTAGGCACTCACAACATCGAGAAATGCCTTAAATCGGAAACATTGAATTTCAAAATTGCAGCATTTTGATTCAGAGGGGCTAATGCTTAGGAATACCCCTCTGAATGTGTGACGTCAGCGCAGATATCTAACGATTTTTAAATGTTTGACTAAAACGTTTTGTAGCACGCGGTGGTATATGCTATTTGCGCGCAACATCTGCCGCAAACGCCGCACTTCAAAAATAAAGTCGCTAGAAACAGCGGAGATCCCAAAAAAGTAAACAAAAGTAAAAGTCTAATATCTTGAAAACCGGTGAATATTTTTCGGTGAAATTTGGTAGATATTCGTTTTCGCTCTTTCTGAACCGAGCGACATCACTTTCATGCCAATTCATAAACTTTTTTGAAGGTGGGAGGGTCCCTTATTACACGCCACGTTTTCTTTCTGCAAGTCTGACACGACTTCGTCTCGGCGTCCACAGAAGCGCGGTCACAACGTGAAGCCTATACCTGCCTTCAAGTCCAGCCACGACGTGACCTCCTCAGAGCCATCTTCAGGCAAGTCTGCTCCGCTGCCACTGCCGCCCTCCGACCCGGCGCGCACCGAACGACGTAAGCGGCCCAAGGCGTCCCGCTCGCCGCGGGCGTCGGCCACCGCGCTGCCCGCGCCGCCGTCCGCCCTCAACGAGAGCTCCTGCTCGAGTCTGGCCAGTGACGCTCCGGTGGCCGAGGAGCGGCGAGAGAGGAGCGAGAGGACAGAGCGCACCGAGAGGGGCGACCGGTCAGAGCGCTCGGAGAAGGCAGAGAAGAAGGAGGAGCGCATCGAGAGGACAGAGCGGACGGAGAAGGCGGAACGGGGCGAGAGGACGGAGCGTTCTGAGAAGGCAGAGCGAACCGATCGGTCAGAACGTTCGGATAAGGTGGAACGAGCTGACAGAACGGAGAGAGCCGAGAAGACTGAGCGATCCGACAGATCGGAAAGAACCGAGAAAACGGATCGTGGAGATAGAATAGAAAGACAAGACCGGGCGGAACGACAGGAGCGGCAGGAGAGGCATGAGCGGCAGGACCGACAGGAACGGCAGGAGCGGCAGGACCGACAGGAGCGGCAGGAGCGGCAGGACCGACCAGAGAGGCAGGAGCGGCAGGAGCGGCAGGACCGACCAGAGAGGCAGGAGCGGCAGGACCGGGTAGAGAGACAGGAACGGCAGGACCGGGTAGAGAGACAGGAACGGCAGGAGCGGCAAGACAGGTCAGAAAGGCAAGACCGACAAGACAGACCAGACAGGCCAGAGAGGCAGGAACGGCAGGACCGCCCTGACCGGCCTGAGAGGTCAGACCGGGAGCGAACGGAGCGCCCTCCACCGGCCGCGTTGCCGGCAGAGACGGGCGACCGGACACCTCCCGAGTCCTCAGCCGACACCAAGTTCACCACGGCCAACTTCACGGAGACGGTGGTGACGCCGAGTGGCTCGGTGTTCGGTGCGCCGCCGGCCCGCTCCTCCGCCGGCGGAGAGCCGGCCGGCGCCGCCAGCGGACCGGGCACCGAGAGCGAGTCGACACTGTCCACCGCCTCCGACATCGACTTCAAGGTAACGTACTGACTGAGGGCAAAAAGAGTCATCGTGGTAGGATTTGCAATGGTGGTTAGGAGTCTTAAAACCTTGGAATTCTTATGTATTTGTTTGGGATTTGTGTCACTGCCCGACTTATATTTCTTTGCATGTGCTCTTGATATGCATTCTTACGTTGTACGTGTCTCTTGAGTCTTGGTATCAGGTAGAAGCAATTCTTAGACGTTATTGAGTAAATAATATGGAGAAGTGAGACGTTTTCCGACGGCTGTATCCGTTTGTTTACGTCGCCGCCAGTCAGTGACCGTTCCTGTCGTCCGCAGGAGGCGGCCCTGGTGATCAAACAGGAGCCGCGCGACTCAGAGCCAGTACCGACCGTCAGCCAGTCCGTGCCGTCCCCGGCCCCGTGCCCGGCCCCGGCCCCGGCGCCCGTGCCCTCTCCGGCGGTCCCGCCGCCGGCTCCCACCCCTCCGACGGCTCAGCCGCCCCCGCCGCTGTCCGCACCCGCGCTGCCGCCGCCGCCGCAGCCGCCCAGCGTCATACAGACGGTCCCGGCGCCACCCGTCAGCCTCTCAGCGCCGCCGGCTCAGCACTATCAGCACCAGCACCAGCAGCCGACGCAGCAGCAGCAGCTCACTCAGCAGCAGCAGCTGGCCCAGCCGGTGACGGTGTCCCTGCCGGTGGTCTCACTCAATCAGGTCAGTACGCGCTACGATGTTCTAGGACGCATTAGCGGAGTTTCAGTGCCGGTATACACCATTTTTTTCGTTTCTGTTCAATCATTCATATTTGATTTAGTGGAATAATGTTTGGGTTATGCTTGCATTACTGAAGCTTTGCCATTGACGATCATATAACAGACGCCATTGCTTTCCCAAATTTTTGCATGCTTCTTCCCTTCAGCGGACGAAATAGCCAACACTTCCTAATTCCATTGAGCCTGCCATTACTTCCCAACTGTACCTTCCTCCGTCCGCATTCAAACCTGAATTCCTCACGGCTGACCCTTCTCCCCTTCCCGCCACAGATGAGTCCCCAGCAGATGGCCAAGACCAAGCGCGCGCTCTCCACCGCCGCTGCCGACAAGGAGCCTCGCAAACGGAAACCGCCGGGCCGGCCGCGCAAGCACGCTCCGCCACCGGCGCCGCTGTCCCCGGGCTCAGCGGCGCCGCCGCCGGAGCGCGAGGCAGCCACCCCGGACTCGGTGGGTGCACGGGAGGCGGCGCTGGGCCGCGCAGAGGTGTCCCCGGGCGCTGCGCCGCCGCTGCCGCCGCCGCCCCCGCCGGCGCGCGGCCGGACCAGTGGAGAGTTCAGCGCCCCGGTGTCTGTCAACGGAAGGAGGTGAGTGTGAGACACGGTGATGGGTTGTCGACGATAACGTGTGTCTTGCTAGTGTGAGATGTTCGTAAGCTGTGAGATGTTGGAAACGTAATAGCGTTTTTCCTTGGTAAGCTTGTGATGACAGCTACTGAGGCTGCTAACGACATTCTTGTTTGTTAATTGGGGCTTTAGGGCGCGCCGACTACCAAGGACAACATTCTGGCTACATTTGAGTTCTTTCGTGTGTGACTCAATATGCAGCTTTGTAGTCGCGTTCTATTTACAGCAGCCATATTGATCGTGCACCTAAGAGCGTCAATGCTTTTTCCTTATACAGTCCCGTATCGCTGCTTGCTTAACCTTTTTCTTCCCCCTGCAGAAACAGCGGCGGCAGCGGGCTGCCGGCTCGTACCAACGGTCTGCCGGCCGCCGCCCACATGCTCGGTAACCAGCTGAACCCGGCCTCGCTGATGGCGCCCAAGCTGTCTGACTCGCTGGCAGCTGAGCTGGCCGAGCAGGCCGGCTACCTGGAGCCGCCCGGCCGGCTGGTGGGACCGCCGCTGCCCGGACGGCCGGCGGCCGCCAGCGCCGGGGCGGCACCGCTCCCCAGCAGACCGGTGGGTAACACTGACACTACACTCGTGTGGGACAAATAATCGTGGCTTACAGCTGATGTTATTGTAAGAAAAATCTGGCTACGTTCTTTACGTCACAGCTTCAGATACTTTATTTCCATGTCGCGCACAATTGTCTGTGATATTTAGAAGTAGCGCTGATGTGCTGCCCATCACCTCTCGGTCGCCCTCCCCACCGACACTCGGCCGTGTGTGTCCGTCGCCGACAGGGTGCGCCGCCGTTCCCTCAGTCGCTGAGTGAGCTGCTGGAGCGCCAGTGGGAGCAGGGCAGCCACTTCCTCATGGAGCAGTCGCAGCACTTTGACGTGGCCGCTCTGCTCAGCTGCCTGTACCAGCTGCGGCAGGAAAATGAACAGGTGAGGTCGATAACTTCGGTATCAGGGGAACGAACAGGTGGTGTCGATAACTTTGCTGTTAGAGGAACGAGTAAGAAACGGTCGATGACTTAATTGGTATTAGGGGAACGAACAGGTTATTTCAATAACTGGGGAACAACAGGTGGGTCAGGCGGAGACAAGAATAAACGTCTGTTGGGTCATATGAAGGCATTATGAACAGAGTTTTGCATGCCTTAACTTCAATCGTCTTCTCGTTCTCGTATCGTCTGAGTCAAGTCCTTGAATAACATTGTTTCCAATAACCGATATAATGCGTCATATTTGGTCGGTACTTAAGACTAGGGGCATACCACGTCAGCCACTTCCAACACGGCCTTCCACGACTGCATGTGCTCTGCCCGTTACTGACCGCCTGCGTCCATGCCCGTCCCTCCGTCAGCTGGAAGAGCACATGAGTGAGCTGTCGCAGCGTCGCGACCACCTACTGGCGGTGAACGCGCGTCTGTCTCAGCCGCTGGAGTCGGCGCCGCCGCTACCGACGGCCGCCCGACCTCCCTCCTCCGTGGCTGCCGCCGCCGTCGCGCGGGCTCACTACGGTTCAGGTGAGATGGTGTGACGCGACTGATGACTGGGGACTCAGCAGAATGGTTGTAGGTGGCTCACAAGACCATCATGTTGCCGGCCTCCAGTGCTGGTCTGTTTTGCAACGGTTTCAGTGATTTGATTATGGTTCTAAAATAAGAAATGCTTGCTTATTATTATAATCGTTAGTGAGATGAAGCACACGCTACCGTCTACTCGTATAGATGTGTTCCTCTGCTCCGATTTCTCTTTTCGATGTGTTAGCTCGACTTTACCTTATCTAACTGCGCCTACTCCGCCGGCAGTCGGTCCGCTGGGCCACCACTCTGGCTCGCCGCGGCCGCCGCTGGAGAACGGCGTCGGTGACGGCGGCGGCCGGCCGGCGCCGCCGTCTCCTCTCCAGCTGCACTCGCCGCTGGGCGGCGGCGGCCGGCCACCCGTGGGCCGCCAGCCGCCGCCGGCCAGCCCGCTCGGCTCCAGCCGCCGGTCGCCCACCGTCCGCTCCGCGTGAGTGAGGGGAGACGCCGACCGTGAGGGAGAAGTCTCTCCGGGCGGGAGGCAGGGAGGGTGGGGGATGAATGCTGAACGGTATTTGATGATTGAACTGCAGTGAAGTTTATCTGTTTTCCTGTGGAATTCTGTCTCTTTGATTCGTGGAGAAAAGCGGCACTGCCAGCGAGACCATTCTAAATTCTTACATGCATGCAATTTGTGCGACACTCCGCTACTTTTAATGACTTGCAAGCTACAGCGTCACAGCAAAAATCTTTGTCTCGGTGTCGTTAATGGTCCTCAAATTCTCACGATCGTAGCTCAACCATTCCCGATCCCACTGTGCCCATCAGATCCACTTAACCCCTCTTCTCCCCCTGGCAGTGTGTCGGCGCCCTACCCTCTGCCGGGCGCCTGCTCGGCCTCGGCCAGCTCTGCCTCGCTGCAGGGCCTGTCGGGCCTCTCCGGACCGCTGCAGGTGAACACAGCTCTGGCCGGCCGGCCGCCGCTGGCTCACCAGACGGCGGCGGCGGCGGCGGCCGACCGCGACCATCGGCTCATGGAGGTAAGGGAATGGGCGATGGAGGTCAGGGTTAGGGTGCTGGGAGGTTAGGGCGGCTGCGCGGGGGTGACAGTGAGTGAGGTGCAGGGAGGATAAGGTTCGCAGTTGCAAATGTAGTTTCACTGGTAGGACTTGCTGGAAGCTGTGGGTTCGTTGTAAGGAACTTTGAAGGTTCGGTACTTCGATACGCTTCTCTTTCTACGAACACTATTCCACCGCCAAAGCTCGCTTGCGATCCTAGCGTCATCAGGGTGCTGTTTGGAGTGTTCACGGTCGATTGTCCCTCGCTCCGTTCCCTCTGACCGTGTTTGTGACTTTGTCCGTGTGTTCCTGCAGTCGCTGCGCGTGTCGGCGGCCACCGGCGGCGGCGGCTACCCGCAGTACCAGCTGGTGTCCCCGCCGGGCGCCGGGCCGGCCGGGCCGCCGCTCCATCACGTGGTACACATGCCACCGCCGGCCGGACGCGCGCCACGCGGCGCCAGCGCCGACAAGAGATGACACAAGGCGGCGCCCAAGTTTCGATGGTTCTACGAGTAGGCAGCGCCGCGGGCGGTAGGCGCGACGGCTGAAGTTTCGGCCGCCGCCGTCGGGCGGCGCTGCTGTCGGATGTCCGGCCACTCTCGGCTGGTATGTACAAATAATCAACGGCGGTGTTTTTGTCTTTGTGTCTGACGGCGTCCTTTATACGCCGGGCTGCCTGTGTGTAACAGCGCGGGTGCGTTTCGTGACTGGTGCGGCCGATTCTTGCCTCTGTATGCCAGTTGGTACGCGAGTGTGTGCGCGCGCGACTTCTGTGTATGTGTGTGCGCCGGTGCTGTCCGGTGTGAGGCTGAGTGTCCAATCAGTACAAATATTTTGTGATGGCCGCCAGACGGCCGTCCTTTTGGCCAGATCTACTCAGTTTTGGGCCGCTGCCGCCGGCCGACCAATCAGCTCCGCCGACCGCCGGCCGGCCACCAATGGGCGTCCGCGTGACCCGGCGGTGCTCCAATCAGCGGCGGCGGCGGGCGGCAGTCCTCCAATCATGTCAGCGGGGTGCCGTCTGGCTCACACAGAGGCTCTGAGAGTGACCGAGGGCCAGTGCGCGGCCAGCTCGGCTCATAAGATGGCGTGGATGGAATGGGAGGGCGCGAGACAATGTTCAAATCATGGACGCTGCCGAGCGTCAATTGTGGTCGATCTCTCACCAGCTTGCGTGCGCGTTTTGTTGCGGGCCCGCGCCGGAGGGCCGGCCGCTGAGTGCGGGCGGACGGACGGACGGGCGGGCCGCGCTCTCCGGGCCGAATTCACACGTGATCTTCCTGTGTTGCTTCCAATGATGGGCAGCACGGGCCGGCCAGCCGGGCCGCCTTTGATACCCTCGCTCTTTGTTTTAATAAATAGCCCTTGCGGTGTGTTACGCCCGCGCTGCGCTTTGCACTGGGGGCATCTCTCGACTTGGGATGCACAGTGAATGGCTGTGATTACTAGCGGAGGATGGTGAGACTCAAAGGGTGAGACATATTTTGAGATACGAATGATAATCATCATGCAAGTGGTGGTGTGATGTCAACGTTACAGAACCCTTGGATGGTACCGACTACCGACTTATGAGCTGATTATTAGACTGCACCAATGCTACCTGAAATAATCGCGGAATTGTTCGAACGATAGCGTTTGCCCCATTGTTAATGAAACTGCAGACTCCAAATCCCACGTAATGGCGGTCGCTAACCAAGCATTCAAGCCATCCCGAAAACAGCCAACAGGAGAGGGTAGGTGGCTGACGTGACAATGATACTATAGCATATTCGACTGCTTGTGTCTAGCGAGTAGCGCTAAATCCTCTAATGTTCCGGTGTAGCGACGAGTGTTTGGAGAACCCAAGCAGCGGTCTGGTTTATAAGATGCGAGAGGTCTCGCTGAGCTCTACATTTGCTTGGGTGGGCCTACTCATCAATGTGCCTAATGTCGTCATGCCTCCATCAAACTCCCACGGAACTCATCGAACGATTCTGATCAAGCCTCAGTAAGCGGTGGCCCATATGAATTATGAATCTTATTACGATGCACGGCATATGATTACCACATCAAGGAAATGCGGGGATACTTTGAGCCGATTTGCAGTGACTGTGCTCATGTCTGCCACCTCCGCTACCTGTACGGTGTGTCTAAAAAGTATGTCCCCTGGTTTGGCTCTCCCACCGTAGGCGAATCGGTAACTTGGCGGAATCCGCCACCGAGGTAGGGAGGGTCAGAGAGGGGGAGGGAGGGGAAGGAGGGGCGACCGCTCGGCACCAGGCGATGCCTGGCTGACCCGGCGCTCCCTCCCTGACCTCCGTCCTGCCCTCAGGCGAGGACCGATTTCCTCGGCCCGCAGCTGCCGAGCGGTGAAGCCGAGCTCGCGGGGCGCGACTACACTGGCCCAATCTTATAAAGGGAGTGCTATTCTTTTCACGGCATTAGGTAATCTTTACAGTGATAACCAGCACTCAGCAGTGGATGTGTAAACATACAGTCCAAAACAAACGGAAGCATCAAGCACACAATTGCTTCATAATATGCTCTCCCATTCGAATAGTCACCGACTTCTATGGAGGGTGTGATTTCTTAGGGCGTAAAATTCGCGCTGCTGCAAACGAAGACACTACCGAACTTTATGAAATCGGGCCAGGGACCGCGGATTCCGGGGGGCAGGGTGTGCAATTGCACACCCTGAAAATCCTGAGGGTGTGCAAACACCTATTTTTGCACACCCACAGTTCGTTGTGGGGGCCCATGCGGCCCTGGCGCTTGAGTGTCCCAAGCCGATTCTCGAGGGCCCCAGCGCGAGCCTGATGGTCCCGCACCGGTGCCTGAAGGCGTGAACAGGTTCTAGTGTTATCTCAGGGGTTATCTCAGAACCCCACCCACGCCATTTTTTAGCGCTCCCACCGGCTCTTGAGGGCCCAGGCCGATGCCCGAGGGCCCCAAGTCGATGTCTAAAGGTCCCACGCCGGTGTCTGAGTACCTACATGGCTAGCTCAGGGATCCACGCCAGTTTCTGAGGGCCCTAACCGGCTCTTGAGGGCCCCTGCCCCCTGCCCTCCTTAACCCCCTCTTGGGGCCGATGCCTAAGGGCCCCGCATCAGCACCTGAAAGCCCACAGAGTGATCTCAGGGCCCCATACCAGTTTCTGAAGGCCCTCACCGGCTCTTGAGGGGCCCCAGACCGATATCCAAGGACCTCTGGCCAATGCCCGGGGGCGCAGGCCGATGCCCGAGGGCCCCAAGCCGTTACCCGAGGGCCTTACACAGCTATCTCAGGGTATAATGCCACTTTCCGAGGGCCCTAACCGGCTCTTGAGGGCCCCAGGCCGATTCCTGAGATCCCCAGGCTGATGTGAGAGGGCCGACCGACTGAGGCGGCCCCTACGTCAGTTTCTAAGGGCGTCCACGACCGCCGTCTGGTCAAAGCTGATCTCTGAGGGCCCTACGCAGGTTTTTAAGTACACTCAGCCCTTGTTTAGGATATCACACCGGCCTCTGAGATCGGATGGCTTATGCATGCCGCAGAGGAGCCCTTACCGGCTCCTGAGGGCTCCGTGCTGATAGTTGAGGGCCCCATGCCAATACTCGAGAGTCCCATTCAGTAATCTCAGCGCCCTACACCAGTTTGAGGAACGCCGTTCGGCCAAGGCCGACCTCCGAGGAAAAGCCCTTTGCAAGCCTCGGAGTGCCCTCACTTTCTTTTTTAGGATCTCACATCAACCTCTAAAGTCGCAGGGCTAAAGGATGCTTCTGATAACCCTCACTAGCTCGGACCCAAATCGATGCATGACCCGACAGAAGTGCCTGAGTAGCCCACACAGTAATCTCAGGGCTCACACCAGTTTCTGAGGGCCTACACGAACGCTTTTTGGCCAAGGTCGATGTCTCGGGGCCCTATTCAGGCATCGAGGCTACTCGGGCGCCAAGAGACGGTGGGGGACCACTAGTCATAGGCGGCGGAACGGGGAGGGCACCGGGGCACCGTGCCCCCTTTGATTTGGGCATTTTAACATTAGCCCTATGGGCGTTGCATGGAAAGAATGGGACCAAAAGTCGGCAGTGCCCCCCCCCCCCCTTAATCGAAGGTGTTCCGCCGCTACTGTTGGTAGTTGGTACCCCATGGAGCCGGCGAACGGTGTCAAAGAGCCCGGTGTGGGGGCCCAAGAAGCGGCGTGGGTATCCATATTTCTATGTACAGCCCACCGCTAAAGTAATGTAGGGTTTTACCAATCTCAACGGTTGGCTTTGACTGGCGATTGTTTAATGCGGAGTGATCAAAAAGAATATGTCAATAGCTAAAGTTGCAGCTGCAAGGGTGACGATACATATAAGCTACATTCAAAGTTTCATTGTAGTCTGGTCAATCGTTCCTAAGCTTCAGAAGCAGAACATACCCATGACTGAAACCCCACATTACTTCTGCTGTGGACTGTACTTACATGAGGTATTCCAGAGGCCGTTATAGGACCTTCAAAGACCGTGTGCGGTGCGCCAGTGACCCTTAGAATTGCCGGCGTTGGGTCTCAGGAGCTGGCGTGCGGCCTTTATGGGGCCGTAGAGCAATGGGGAAGCTAAGGGGCCGGAGGCCAGGCCCCCATAGGTCATAGGGACCAAATCGATGGGCACAAACATCCCGCCGGCCGTGTTTTATTTTTAAACGAATTCATGCAATCCATGATAAAAAGAAGTGTGCCAACATCAACTGTGCAAAAGGGCTCTCTGAGGCCCGTAGGGGCTCTTGAAGGTCACTGTAAGCCTTTAGGGGGCCTGCTTGGGAAAATTGGAGATCGATTTGGATCACGTTGCATGCATGCATGTGCATTTACTCTGCTCATGCATCTCCTGACCGTAAGATGCTCGCTCAGTCATCTTACGACCGTCAATTTTGAAGGTTTTCCCGCCCCGCTTCCTTAGAACCGGCTTATTCCGGAGCAGTGGCGGCGCTGACTTTTTGGAAGGGGCCCGGCGTGAGATAGGGGGCCCAATCGCCACATCTTGCACACCCTACGAGAATTTGAATCCGCGGTCCCTGAATCGGGCGCTGGAATTCCGTCAATATACGATGGACCTCAATGCGTGAAAACAATTTTGCACTTAGCCGTAATAATAACCGCAAGTGACATCACATCCATTCCCCGGTGTTTATAAGATTGGTCCCAGCAACCCACGAGGAAGTATGTTTATCGAGCGTATTATCCTCAGAGAGAGAGGAGAGAGAGAGAGAGAGAGAGAGAGAGAGAGAGAGAGAGAGAGAGAGAGAGAGAGAGAGAGAGAGAGAGAGAGAGAGAGAGAGAGAGAGAGAGAGAGAGAGAGAGAGAGAGAGAGAGAGAGCTGGAGCCTGGCATATCTGTCCTTTGATTCAAGCTAGATTTTGTGACACTAAACGCATTTTCAGGTCCTTGTCAATGACCTATGACGTCATTGGTGAACCTGTGTGCATGGTCAAAGATGACGAGTGTATTTTTCTGTCACAACTTTCCAGGAGTGTTTTTGCAGCGATAGTAGCTCGGCATCGTTAACTTCGATCCGGATATTGTTGCTCAATGGTAGCCTCTGCGAACTTAGAAAGGCTGTTTATGGCCATGAACACCTGCATTGGCACACTATTACCACGATGTGGTTAACCAGATGTTTTTCTTCAACGCTCCCTTTTGGCTCATGACACATCGCTAAACGTGGCACCCGTAGCAAACGTGTCAAACGTGGCAAAACTTCACAGTCCCTACGAACCCTCATCAGCACTCGTTGGCTTGGTGTGTGGCCCCTGCCCTTTGGCCGAGACAGCCGCCAGCCTATACCGCGCGCCGCGCGGCGCACCCCTCCTTAGCGGGCGGGGGAGCGCACCACGCGCTCCCCGCCCACACCCCTCCCTCCTTCCCGAGGTCGTGTCACGAAGGTTCGGGATTACGCTACTATCAGCCACTGCGTAGCTGTCGCCCAGCGCATGGGAATGCGTGGTTTGGTCCGGATTCAGCCAACTACCGGCTCGCGACACCAGCGCTGCGTGGTGGCGAGGGGACATTCTTTTTAGACATACTATACGACTGGTGGCGAACGCCCGACTTGTGCTGCTCCTCGTGGATTAGTGTTAGTTTTCTGCGCTGCTCATAGATGGCATCACTATCAAACGCCTGCGGGTAGGCTGTACCGCAATACATGAAATGGCGAATCCCAGCGCCGAGCGTCGGGGAGTTGAAACAAAGTGCAATTTTTATAGATATTTTGTCGGAATGGATGAGTGGGTGTTCGACCTTGCCCGTAATTCCGTTTCACCAAACGTCAGATATAAGAACACGGGTCAAACGGCGCGGAGCTCTGCGGCCGAAAACTCACTGCCGCTGAATTAGACGGCGGACCGGACGCCTTATCCACGGGGCATAAGGAGGAT